GCAGTGAAAAGAGCGTGTGGACAGTACGATTCCGGTTGCTACCGACATTGGTAGCGGAGCAGGTGACGGCCTGACTCCGGCACGTACTGATCCAGGTCATTGGAATCGTAGAACATCAAGCCTGAGCTTGCATTCCTTGCGTGCTTTCGCTTGCCTCCTCTGATCCCGTTGGGGACAGAGCCCGGAATAGATTGCTCGCCCGAGCAATCTCCGTCGGAATCGTCGAACATGTCCATTGCTGGACTCAAGTTCCATTCGGGTAGCACTGGCAATAGAATAGGCAACCCCCTGGAAACTAAGAGTGGGTCTTACATCTATTGGGGAGATCCTGCATCATTTCATGATTGGAAATTTCGAACCGAACTCCGCATCAAGCTGTACGACCAAGCCCAAACGCAACCAGCAAAGAAGCAGGATCCCGTGACTGGACCTGCCGACGAAGGGGAGCCTTGGCCACCAGAGTCAGACGAAGGATTCGCATTCCCTTCGCTTGGACACTATCCCGAGGAGTTTGAGCCCGAGCCGCGTGAGACTGCCGGTACTCCCAAGTCAAAAGTTGATGCAACATCACCGAAGGCTTCGTCCGTTAAGTCAGACAAGTCGAGTATCATCGATCGCAGTGTCCTAGTGAACAAGATCGTAGAAGGTTTGAGAGGTGATGCATTTTTGCTTGCCAGAGACTTAGGTCTAGAGACACTCGCACGTCCAGGGGGACTGGAGCGTCTCATCGAGGTGATACGTAACCATGTGTTTCCTCGAGCCTTGGAGGAGAGTAAGGAGCTTTTTCGCGCAGGACAGAAGCATGGAGGACCACTGTCGAGACAGCCTACAGAAAGCATGTTGTCGTACACTCAGCGTCGACGACGCTGGTGGACCTTGTTGGTTGAGCTTGACCCCACAATGATGATCTCGGAAGCTTTCCGCACAGAGCTATTGTTGGAGATGTCAGGTATCTCTAGGCAGGAGATCCTTGTGGTGAAGGCTTGTCGCAAGAACGATGACTTCGAAGGTACTGCACGAGTCTTGGTTGACAACTACAGTGGAATCCATCTTCGTGAAGGGTCCCGATCCTGGACAGGACGGGGAATTCAGCCTCAGGTAGGCAAAGGCAAAGGGTACCAGAAGGGGTACCAAGGTAAAGGCAAAGGTAGCCAATACCCTCGTGCTGGTTACAATGCCGTCTATCCCGATTGGGAAGACAATTTCGATTGGAGAGATGAGGACTTGCAGGAGCATCATCATGAAGAAGATTCTTTCGTAGGCATGCTAGGAGGGGTTGAAGAGTCTGAAGAACATGAACATGCTAGCCATACCGAGTACGAAGATTTTGAGTATCATGATGATGTTGATGAGTATGAAGCAATTGCCTTGAATGCAGTAGTTGATTGCAAAGATGCCGAAGAACGTTCCTCAGGTGATGCTATCCAATTGCAGCTTGCCGCATTCGTCGCTTTCGGGAAGGCAAAAGGCAAAGGCAAGGATAAATTCAAGGGGAAAGGTAAAGGCAAAGGTAAGATAGTAAAGTCTCACCTTAGCATCGAGCAACGTCGACAGAAACTGTCCGAGATCAAGGCGAAATCCAAGTGTCTTCGTTGTGGTGGTCTAGGTCACTGGGCCGGAGACCCCCAATGTAAGATGCCCAATGCCCCGAAGACTGGATCGGCCCCGAAACCAGCTGCACACATTGCCCACATGAGTGATTCATCCGAGGACGAAGGGATTTTTCTAGGTGCGGCGTCTCCAACCGACAGCGTTGCTCACATGGCCGTGAAGGCCAGCTCAGGAGTTCGTCCGGAGGCACCAGTGAGTCCCAACGACCTCGTAAGGCCTGAAGGGAGCGATAGGAAGTTCTTAGCTGGACAGTTCAGGGGGAAGACATTTTGGCAGATCCTTCATGAACATCCTGACTACCATCAATGGGCCATCAAGAATGGCAAGAGTCCAATCGCTTCGGCTTTCGTCACATGGGTTGATCAGCATTTTGAGTACAGGGGAGCTTCAGTTTTCAGGAAGGTTGGTGGTGCTTCTTCTTCATCGTCATTGCAGCCAATCCCAAAAGGGTCCTCAAGGAAGAAACCACCATATCCACCAAAGGAGAAATGCAAGAATTGTTCCGAGTTCACCAAACAAGGGAGCACAGCATACACCATCAAGAAGACATGCCTTGTCTGTGGGAACTCCACCACTGAGCGTAGAGAGCAGGCCCCGAAGTTTGCATATGACGATTGCCCGCACTCGGACACCGATTTTCGAGGTTCTTCCAGGTCTGTTCACCGTGTGTTTTGCAAGCTTTGTTGTTCGTTTTTGGATGAGACTCCGATGGAGCTCCAAAAGACTAGGAAGGCAGCCTCTGAGAAAGTCGTCAACGCACCGCTCGATAGGATCCCAATGATTGAACGTTTGGTTGAAGAGGAACCCGAAGAAGGACACACCCCCGAGATGCTAGAGAAGATTTTGACTGAATTTGCCGCCCAAGTCGCGTTGGCAGCCGAAACCGAGGCCGTGACTTCGATCAAGCTGCACGAGCTCCTCCACCTGTCCATCGAAGAGAGCAAAGGAGACTCGTTCACCATGATTGATTACACCGAAGATCCAGACCCCTTTGCAGGGATCGGCATTTGTTTTCATGGGGAGGAACCTACCCAGATGACAGATGGTTTGGTGCACATATTTCACGAAGCCAGGGACATGTACAGCCCAGACGACGGGAACATCTACGTCGTTCTCGACGAGGGATGTAATTCCACCTGCCATTCAAAGCACTGGGGAGACGTCGTGGAAGCCAAGCTGAAGAAGCTGGGGTATGATTTCCCTTTCTCAACCACAACGTCGAAGAATTTTGCCGGGTTAGGTGAAAAAGGGACCACTACAGAAGGATCCCGCACATTACCCTTTTCGTTGCACTTCGACGAGGGAGATCCAGTGCATGGTGTTCTTGAATCCCACCAGCTGTCGAAAGGTCGATCTCCGCTGCTTTTGTCTCTCCATGCTCAGGCACACTTGGGACTAGTAAAGGACCTCAAGAATGGTATCATTAGTATCAATGGAAAACGCCTCAAGGTGTTCAGATGCATGCACACCGGTTTAATGATGTTGGCAATTACCCCTCAACAATTGGTCCAAAGTCTCGAAGCCACCATGCCCCAAAAGATTCCAAAGTGTCATCGCAAATTTCGTGTCGCCCTCACAGCCTTCGATACTCCGATGGAGAGATTGGATACGGCAGAGCGAGGGTACCAAGCCCAGACTGCCGAAGGTATCCATCGTGCGCTTGGCAGCATCATTGGCAATTTGAAGAGCCGTGAGTTTTTGCTGGTCACAGGAGGTGACCGGTTTGAAGACAGGTTTTCAGAGCATGTTGGCAGTGGTATCCCCGTGAAGTACATCAACGCCAAGTCGCTGTGGGATCCCGACCAGGATCCTTCGTTGCGTGGACACGTGGGAAGGCATCCGGCCATTTTGAATGGTCTTAGGAGGGATCAGAGAGGTCTTGACCGCATCTTTCGTGAGGTGGACGACTTTGTGGAGCGCCATGACAAGGGAGTTTTGGACGTGCGCTGCAAGTCAGGGCGTCATCGTTCTGTGGGCGGAAGCATGTTGATCCACAGGCATCTTGCTTCGAAGGGCTTCACGTGTGTTGTGATTCATTCTCACTCGCCTGAATGGCGTGAGATGTCGTGTGGAGGACGTTGCACTCTTTGTGGGCCGCTTTTCGGCGATACAACTGTGACATTGACTCCAGCACATACAATGAATGTTCACACTCCAAGAGCTGTTCGAGGTGATGCGGACGACCACGTGCCGTGGCGATCCGGTGAGCGTTCAACAGCACCACCACCGACACGAGAAGAGGCTATTCGCAGCACCAGTGCAAAAGCCCGCTCGCTTCCACCAAAAGCCTGCCCTTCAGTACTTTCGAGGCCATCTTCATCTTCACGACCGCCGAAGGCGAGTGACGCCGTGGCATCTCGAAAGAGCAAACCAATGCCGAGCGCTGCCGTGACCTCGCCTGTGAGGCCGGTTCCGGATTTTGATGATGCTGGCAGCCATGAAGACGACACCAAGTTGGACGAACAAGAGGTTGGAGAAGAGATAGAAGAGGTTGAGGTTGAAGAGCCAGAGATTCCAGCGGAAGAAACTTCGAGCGGAAGCCAGGAGATTCTGCAAGCCCTCAAGAGGTTGACAGATGCCGTGACGACGCTTGCAAATCGCAATCCGCGGTCCCGTAGCCCATTGAGGAGGAGAAAGTCGGCTGGTACATCAGAACCCAACCAGAGGCCAACTAGGTCTAGGAGTCCGATTCGTCCGACCAGATCAACAGTGAAGACAGCTCCTACGATGCCGAAGACTCCACCACCTCCGCCGAAGCCTGTGAGTCCGCGCACTCCTGATCATCCACCACCACCAAATCGTCCGCCGCCCCAGCTGTCCAAGTCCAGGTACGATGA